GTGTGTGTGTGTGTGTGTGTTATGTGTGCGTGTGTGTGTGTTATGTGTGTGTGTGTGTGTGTGTGTATGTGTGTGTGTGTGTGTGTGTGTGTGTGTGTGTGTGTGTGTGTGTTTATGTGTGTGTGTGTGTGTGTATCATACTTCCGTGTTGATATGCGTACAGAATTGAGTATATATACAGAGAGGTAGCCCAAAATTCTACATTCAAGAACATCTTGTCGTTTCTGATCTATATATATCCAGCTATATGACTTACTTACCATCTGTAATAGGGACTTCTGTGTATGCAGTAGCGTGACAGGCGTTCATTACTTTAATTAAGTCCGGGACCGTATCCTGGGCCGTTCTATCCGCATGTTCACTACCGATATTTAACGTTTGTAAACGCTTATCTAAAGCGCCCAAGACAACTTCAAAGGAGGTGTCCAGCACAACGTCATCGTACTTTATGCATTTCAGTGGCAATTCGGGGCTAGACTGCCTCGATTGCATCGTTCTATGACAATATTAATAATCCAACAATTCAAGATCGAGCTACTCTAAAGACGATGCGACTGTATTATGTAGTTCTCGAGCCGGCACAAAGCCTTGCGGCTTCCATGTGGCGAGGCAGAAAGTGCCGTATCTGTGTACCAACAGTATGTGCAAGCTTATGTATCTATACAGCACACAAATATTGTATGTATCAATCATCAATCACTCATAGAGGACTTTGCATCTTATGTCTTAAAAATACATACACAGTAAAGATTGCATGTATCATCCATCACAAATAGAGGACTTAATTGAAAATATCGAGTTCGTTGTGAAGTCGCTGTCGGGTCTTTTGGACAATGAGATGCCGCTCTAGACTAGATAGACTAGAGATCAAATTGTGGCAGACATGCATAAGCTAAATATACAGTACATGGTACATATATAGTAGGAATTATTACATTGATATTTATTTATTTCACAGAAGTTATTCACAGAATACAGCTTCCACTCTCTTGTTAACCAATGGAAACCCCTGTGGTTATGGACTATAGTATGTAGTGACTACAGTGATGACTGTGAGTCTGTGGACTGTGAGTCACGGACTCACAGGTATTTTTCTAATTGTTTTTACCAAAAAAGGGGTGTTTTTGTGTGTAAAAAACCTGACTCAGATGGGGGGACAGGTGTGATCACGCCCGCGTAAATATGTGCGCGATTTCTTTATTTAGAAGGGCCAGCCGGGTAAAAAATGCCGCATGAATTTCTCATCTTGTCAATTTTTGATTGGCTTTTTTAAAGAGTGGCGATGTTTTGGTGGGGTAGAAAGCCGTGAAGCTGTTATTTGTAGTGACAACTGAAGTCTGAAGATATGGTTATACACATGTATATGTGTAAGTATAGTTCGTACATACAGTTAATACCATGCATGAATAGCGTTTTCGTATTGTGTGACGGTTACAAAGAAGGTTTGAGTGATCCATATACATCCTACAGACACATGCCAAAACCAGATATGGGCAGATCCATAGGGAATACACACACGCAAAATAGAATACGAAGTACATACAGGTCAATCTTACACACATGATTGCTACCAAAAATCAACAGTATTACGACGTACATGTATAGACGTATACAAATTTTTACTGAAATTCAGTTTATATTTTTCTCGAATCAGACGGATACAAGAATAACTGACCACTGATATATTATCAGCAGAACAACACATATACATATATATATATATATATATATAATATCCACATACCGTTCTCGCTGGAATTTGGACACTATGGCTACTGTATCAAAGGAGAACGTGCTGCAGGCGCTGGATGTGTTGCTGAATAACCCGAGCAATGAGCTCAAACAAGAGGCTTCCAAGTACCTGGAGCGAGTGCAAGTTTCTCCTCAGGCCTGGACAGTGGTGGATGAGATATTGCGCGAGAACTCTAATGAACAGGTATAGTTTGTTTATTCGAGTATGTGTAGTTTACTATATATATATATATGTGTGTGTGTGTGTGTCTGTGTCTGTGTCTGTGTCTGTATATATATATCTGTATATGAACATGTGTATTTGTATGTAAATGCATATTTATTAATATATAAGTGTATATATAAGTGTATCTATATGCAGATATGTATACAAATATATACATTTGTGCGTATGTGTTTGTATGTATGTATGAATATATTGTGTCTATGTATACTTACTTATATATATATATATATATATATGTATATATATATATATATATATGTATATATATACATATATATACATATATATATATATATATTATATATATATGTGTGTGTGTAACCTTGCGTGAGCGTGTGCGTGTGCTTTGTGCACGACAGTGTATGAAAAGTATATATACA